GAGGGCTGAACCGGAGACTAGGATGGAACCTCTCACAAGGACCAGGGCTTTTCGCATTTTCCCTTCGCAACACATTGTAGCAGGAGTTGGGCCTAAGAATTCTGTTTGAAGAGCACTGCAACACTCAGCTTCATGGTTTATGTTCTCTGCTAGACAGTTCTTTATGTTTGAGCTTCTCTTTGATTTTGTGTGTTACTGCACGTAAGATCTGATGGTATTACAGACCAAAAATATAAGAGTCACACTTTCAACTACCTTGACTCTCTTGTATTCCTTTCAAAAGTGACACTTGGTTGTATTTTTTCTTCACCAATGGAAGAAACAAAGCTTAGACATTTTTCTAAATGCAGAAGAGGACGGAGATAATTCTGGCCTAATGATATAACTGCCTTTGAATTCACAATGTCTATTACCTCTTAGTAAATTTTCCCACAATGAAGTTGCCTTATAAAAAGAAATGGCTCTAGTTAAAATGCTCCCATTCTTTCAACCCTGTGATTAGCTGCTGGATTTTGAAATTACATCTGGTGACCTTAAAGATGTCCTTAAAGAGCTCCCAGAGCTTGTTGGGAGAGTTCTTCCCAAGAAGTTCCCTTCCGCTGCTATTGAGAGTTGCAGAAGAAAAAGCTACGTCTGATGGTAACACAACTTCTACCATGTCTACTAGAAACGAAGACTTTCGTTAACAGTCAATAAAGTAATTGAACAGTTAAAAAGACACATCTGCTTATTCTGAAGAATAATATAAAAAATTACAGATAAAAGCAGTGGTTGCAAACTTTCAGGCTATTATTTGACCCTGTCTGTCACTGTTAGCCTGGTGAGCACCACAATTTTTTTTTTTTTTTTTTTTTGACAGGCAGAGTTAGACAGTGAGAGAGAGAGAGAGACAGAAAGGTCTTCCTTCTGTTGGTTCATTCCCCAAATGGCCGCTGTGGCAGGCACGCTGCGCCGATCTGAAGCCAGGAGCCATGTGCTTCCTCCTGGTCTCCCATGCGGGTGCAGGGCCCAAGCACTTGGGCCATCCTCCACTGCCCTCCCAGGCCACAGCAGAGAGCTGGCCTGGAAGAGGAGCAACTGGGACAGAGTCCGGTGCCTCGACCGGGACTAGAACCCGGTGTGCCGGCGCCACAGGTGGAGGATTAGCATAGTGAGCTGCGGCGCCAGCCGAGCACCACACTTTCTATAGTTTTGCTTGCTAAGATCTGCAACTGTTCTCAGAGCAGACCCTGCACTTGGCAGGATGGCAAGAGGGTACAGAGAAAAGACCCACTGTCCTGCATGACCAACAATGTCAAGGATATGGGACCTCTCAGCTGTCTACCTCTGCAATGACAGCAAGAACTGACCCCTTGAAGGGCCACTCCATCATCTTCTCAGAATGAGACCAACACGTGCTAGAGTGGGTGCGGCCTTGAGTCAACAGTTACATGCTATATTGTGATTGCCCTGATTCCCATGACTTTAGACCAAAGGGGCAGGTGCTGAGGCGTAATGGGCAAAGCCACCGCCTGCAGTGCCAGCACCTCACATGGGCAATGGTTCGAGTCCCGGCTGCTCCACTTCTGATCCAACTCTCTGCTATGGCCTGGGAAAACAGTAGAAGATGGCCCAAGTGCTTGGGCCTCTGCGCCCCTGTGGGAGACCTGGAAGAAGCTCCGGGCTCCTGGTTTTGGATCAGTGCAGCTCTGGCCATTGTGGCCACTTGGGGAGTGAACCAGCAGATGGAAGACCTCCCTCCCTCCCCCCTTCTACCTCTCCTTCTCTGTATAACTCTGACTTTCAAATAAATAAATCTTTTAAAAAATAAATAAATAAAATAAAAATTCCTATTCTTAATTCTGTGTAAATGCCTGGTAGATTGGCCACACACTGACATGTGAGGCTAAAGCAAATATGCAGAATCTGAAATGACCCAACATAATGCCATCTTTTTGAAATAACAAGCCTCTGTGATCACAGCACAAAATAAATAGTGCATGGTCTATTGGTCTGAAGAATGATTATTTATTTTTCTATTCATCACAACATAGTTGTAGTAGCAATCTAAGTTTGTTGTAGAAAAGGATTGTTGTCCCAAACTATTAATTTTTAATAAGTGAGTATTTGAATTTTGTAAGCCAGGTTTTAGAGTAAATGTTTGTAAAACAAAACAGAACAAAAGAACAAAACAAAACAAACCCTCCCCCCTAAAACAAACAGTACACTGCAGGAAGGAATAAAATAGCTACTTAAAAAGCTGATTCCAGTATCTGACTCTGCAGCAAAGGGTGTGAGAGTGGGGTGCAAATTCTCTTTGGCTTTTGGAGCCAGGTGCACTATTGCTGTGACAGCATGGGAGCCACAAGTGACATGGAACTCCACGGCATTTGCAAGCAAAGGAAAAAGAAGTCAGAAGGAAGCGATTAGAGCCAGCCTCACGGCATAAGCTGTCTAATAATATCCAGCACCGCTGGGTCAGAATGTTGGTAAAGCTTAACAGTGTTTTTGACATCACAAGGAAATGGCTCCAAGTTGTTGGACCTTGTTTCTCCAAGTCCAACCCAGCCCTTCTGTCTAAGCTAGGGGTAGTGTGGCTGCCTGCCAGGCTATGAAGCTCAAGAATAAGAAGTATGGGACGCATAATGGCAGGGTTTGCTTCTGCTGGACTTGAAAGCTGCTTGGGATCCACTGGGATCAGCAATTTGGCTGCTGCCTTGACAGCTGGAAGAGAAGGGGCACAGCAGAGGTGCTGGGGATGGAGTCCCGTGAGTGGAAGCAGAGAGGCGGCGAAGCAGGAGGCCGACCAAGAGAAGGGGAACATACTTTCTTCAGGAAGCTGCGCCAGCTAATAAGTCAGGAAGATGTTATGAGTGGACTTTGACCAATTCAGACTTTGTCTCTTTAAAACATTGTTCTCTGATTTCTAAGGTAAATCCATTTACCATGTAAAAATAAGGAAAAGCTCCATAAAAAGTATAGAAAAAAATTAATAATCACTTATAAACTTAGCACCTGATAATCACCAACAATAGTTTGATGTGATTTTTCATGAACACATTTGAAAATCAAAATTCGCATCCTAGGGTTACAAGATTTTCTGTTTCCTCACTTTAAGTAATGGTCACAGTAAGCATTCCAGACACACACAGGGAAAGCTCGCTGGAGCCCTGCCCCACACCCACACCCGCTGTTGGGTTCGGAGGATGGAATGATCACCTTTGGTTTGGGAGGTCAGGATGATTTCATAAATGAATGGTTATTTGAGTGTAGCTGTTAAGAACAGGAGGATTTTTGGAGAGGCAAAACATTTTAGGTGGAAGAATGCAAAGAACCAATGTATGAAGGGAGACAGACCCCAGGGAACACATATGCTTGGCTGACAAGGTGGCTTGGCTGACAAGAGGTTTTGATCGCCAGGCGGAGGCTGTGAACAAAGAGGGGCAGACTAAGAAGCAGGGAGCAAAGGGAGAGTGGATGCGGCCTCTGTGGCTGGCAGCTGGGTCATCTGTGGTAACATCCAAGGCAGGGGGACTTTCCAGTTCAGCTGGTGGGGGCTATGGCCAGGAACCTGAGGGTTGCAAGGACTGTTTCTAATGCCAAGACATTCAGCTGTGCAAAGAAAACAGCAGAAGAGCTGTACTGACTGGAGTTATCAGAGTCAGTGGCAAGTTTTGTTCAAGATGGTAAACCAGGAAGAGCTGCAGTTAGAGACATCTCTTCTGAGACACGAGGCAAGAGACATATTGAAAGTACAGGTGTAGAGAAAGAATGACGAAGGTCCACACCCTCCATGAGCTTGGTGTTCTTAAAAAACATGAGAGGCTGTGTGCTGATAGAGAATGCGGTGGGGACGTGGGGGCAGTTGTGAACGGGGAGGACTGCAGGGTGACCTGAGCCTCCAGTTCCAGTGGGAGGGCATGCTTTGTAGGGGCAGCTCAATGCTGTCCTTCAGTCTCCCCAACACCCTGCAGACACCATGGGCACTGTCTCGACAGGAGCTGGTAGAGGAACTGAGGGCTTGACACTGACTGAAGGTCATGAAGAAGTTGGGGCGCCTGCTGGAGTCCCGGTCAGAAGTTGACTTTTGTAAATGGGCTGTCCAGGCAACCCAAGGAGCTTCAAGGACCTAACAGAGCAGGCGGGACAGGCTGGGAGCAAGTGCTTGCAAAGAACAGTGAGTGCCGAGTATGGGTGCCCCGAAGTTGCCTTTTTATGGGGAAAGCAAGGAGGGAATGGTGGTCTAAATGACACCAATGTATTTCCATATGCATGTGGAAGGCACTGTGCAATCCAGAAACAAAAAGTTTTAGAAAACAAATCAGTTGGTTGAAATAAGCTTGATTTTGCTCATTTGTTCTTCTAATTTCCGCATCAGATCAAATTTAAAAACACACTGGCAAATGTATCAGCCTCAGAAATAACCTGACAGCTGAGTCTTCTACAAGGCTGGAGACTGAGGGGCTGGGACTAGGGAGGGTTGGCTGGCAGCCACCTGGCAGTCAATTCTCTGTACACAGAAAGGAATGGCTCAGGCTAATGAAGCAGCTTAAGTTACTTAAAGGCATTTAGGTTACAAGCTATGCAGTAGGTGGGGTATGCCAGCCACAGACAAAGGGAGCCTCCCGCAGAAAATACACAAAGAAAGTGTGTAGAGAATACGAAAACAGAGAGAGACCATTTACCACTTCTTTCCCAACCTCCCATAAAACCAAAACATTGTATGGCACATGTCAAAACTAGCAGCTATAAAGTTTCAAATGCATAAACAAAGCTTTGAGTTCTTAATTATGCAATATATCGGAATGTTAATAAGCAAGAAAATGCAGTAGGTTTTTTTAAACCTATAGAATTAACCACTTATACACTGTAACTTAATGACATGTGATGATTTGAGAAGATGCAAGGCCTTCAAGTTAAAAGCTGTTACCAAACCTCTTACTCTAAAATCTGGGTGTCATAAATATTTTACACTAGAAGTTAAAGGGGAGGGAACAAAAAGGAGAAAAAAAGTACAATACCTCTGGATTCATTATTCCTTCTTTTTTAAAGCAGCTGTAAAACATGTCCATGGAAAACACTTCACTCCAAAGATATCCATAATACTGGCCATCGTATCCCCCTGCCAAATGCCCAAAAGTAGCTGGCATGTTTGTTCCTTTAAAAGAAGGACACATAACATCAATGATGAAATCACCGAAAAATAGCTGGAATTACCGGCAGATTGTGTGGTGGTGAGCCCAAGGTCTTCTGAAGAAAAAAAAAAAAAAAAAGAAGGACACATATCAATCAGTGTGATACCAAATGCTAATTACTAGGTTGTTAGTCAGCCAAGGTTTCCCTCTGGAGAGTCAAGCGGTGGGAGGAGAAAGTGAATGAGAGGCTCTCACCCCAGCACGACCAGGGCGTAGAGGTGCGCCTGGCTGCCATGTTGACAAACTTCTCTCCTGTCAGGGGCTTGCCCTCAGAGTTGGTTTCAGCCTGGCTCTGGAATGCCTGACAACAGTGCCAGAGGCTTCGTCCACACCCATCAGAGAGTCAGTCTTTTCTCATCCTCTGCACACTTCTGCTTCTTAAGGACACTCGAATATTAACCCTGCTCTCTGCTATACCTCTTCATATCTAAAATGTCTGAGAACAGCACTTACTTTAGGGTGATAATTACTGAACAAGAATTCTTAATTTTAAAATTGTGAAAGGTAACTTTACAAGCAATTTTGTCAGGGCCGGCGCTGTGGCATAGAGGGTAAAGCTGTTGCCTGCGAGACAAGCATCCCATATAAGCACCAGTTCAACTCCCTGCTGCTCCACTTCTGAACCAGCTCCCTGCTAACAGCAGGGGAAAAGCAGTGGAAAATGGCCCAAGTGTTTGGGCTCCTGCACCCGTGTGGGAGACCCGGATGTATATCTTGGCTTCTGGTTTAGATTGGCCCAACTTCAGTCATTGCGGCCATCTGGGGAGTGAACCGGTGGATGGAGGAACTCTCTGTCTCTCTCTCTCTGTAACTATTTAAAATAAATAAATAAATCTTAAAAAAAAGGCAAAATAAACAATTTTGTCCAAGTTGCTCTATGATTGACTGTAGAGAGATCACCAACGGAGGCAGAGCCCAGACTGAGTCAACTGGCCATTCTTATCTTTACTATCTCTACAAATGTCGGTGATTCATTTTTTAAAAAAGGCTTTAGGCCGGCGCCGCGGCTCACTAGGCTAATCCTCCGCCTTGCGGCGCCGGCACACTGGGTTCTAGTCCCGGTCGGGGCGCCGGATTCTGTCCCGGTTGCCCCTCTTCCAGGCCAGCTCTCTGCTGTGGCCAGGGAGTGCAGTGGAGGATGGCCCAAGTGCTTGGGCCCTGCACCCCATGGGAGACCAGGAAAAGCACCTGGTTCCTGGCTCCTGCCACCGGATCAGCGCGGTGTGCCGGACGCAGTGCGCTGGCCGCGGCGGCCATTGGAGGGAGAACCAACGGCAAAGGAAGACCTTTCTCTCTGTCTCTCTCTCACTGTCCACTCTGCCAAAAAAAAAAAAAAAAAAAAGGCTTTATTTATTTTGAAAGCTAGAGAGAGAGAGAGAGAGAGGAGGGGAGGGAGGGAGAGAGAGATAACTTCCACCCACTGTTCACTCCCAGATGGCTGCAATGGGTGAGGCTCAGTTAGGCTGAAGCTAGGAGCTGCATCTGAGTCTCCCGCATGGGTGGTGGGGGACAAAACACGGGCCATCTTCTGATAGCTGATTCATTTTAATAACAATGTGCCCGGTGAAAAGAACTCACTTTAGCAACTACATATAAATACACATCTATGTTGGTGTAAAATATATGGGGGGTGAGCAGTGATGTAGTACAAAAGGTTAAATTGCTGCTTGCTGTGCTGGCATCCTATATGGGCACCAGTTCTAGTCCTAACTGCTCTGATTCTGACCCAGCTCCCTGCTAATGATCTTGAGAAAGCAGTGGACCATGGTTCAAATACTTGGCCCCTGCCACCCAAGCTGGAGACGCAGATTGAGTTCCTGGCTCCTGGGAGATAGATCTATCTCTCCCTCTCTCTGTCAATCTGCCTTTCAAGTAAATAACAATAAAATCTTAATAGCAAAAACAAAACAAAACTGACAGTCATAGTAGGCACTGTGTGCAGCAGGTTAAGCTGCTGCCCTGACATCCACATTCCATATGGGAATGCCTACCATGGAGTCCTGCCTCTGCTTCTGATCCGGCTTCCTGCTAATGTGCACCCTGGGAGGCAGCAGATGATGGCTCAAGTACTTGGGTCCCTGCCTCTCTCTCTCTCTAACTCTAACCCATGTGGGAGACCATATGGAATTTCTGGCTGCTGGCCTCAGCCTAGACCAGCCTTGGTTGTGGCCATTTGGGGAGTGAACCAATGATCTTGTTCTCTGTCTCTCCCTCTTTCTCTGTCACTCTGTCCTTCAAACAAATAGATCTTTAAAAACAAAGAAACAATGTTAAAAAAAAAAAAGAAAGAAAGAAAGAAAGAAAAAACTGCCAGCCAAATATTTTAAGTGACTTCCAAATCACAAACAAGGTAGAAGTTCCTGTTTCTCTCTGACAGAGCCCCTGCTGCCAATTTCTCACTAAGAATCATAGGGAAATCATGGTGCGTACAGGGAGGGAGGAGCAAGGAGGGTAGAGCCAGACATGAATGGCTCTCTCAGCTCTGGGGTGGAGGCCAATTGCTCACGCCTGATTACACTAAAATGCTGTGAATCTGGAACCACCTTGCCTTCCAGCACATTTGGCCAGAGTAACTCAGAAGGACATAGCATGCTTATCTGAAAGTCATGGCCTGATTGCAGATTGGGTAATGTGCCTGACTAATCCACCCTGCTGCAGAATTGGGATTGTGCTCTGGGCTTCACAAGAAAAGTGAACTCAAGTCAGAGTTATGTACGTACCAGGAGTAGCGGCAACACCTAAAATGTCGGTGCAGTACCTGGCATATTCACTTGCAGCGTCCAGGGATGAGTTGGTATGCAGAGACTGGTCAACTTTGCTCAAAACGATCTGGCGAAGGGTCAGAAGACCTAATGATATAAGAATGTTTAAGCACAGTTTGGAGAAGAGAGAACTGTGTGTTCTAACATCAGAAGACCATAGAGTTCAAAAGCTGATCCCAGTGGTACTCATTATAAAAGACTTTTTTTCTTAGACATTATTCCAGGGTTCCCTAGTCCAATACAGTTAGTGTTCTTCGCTCCCCATATCAGCTATCCTGAAGCACCATTATTATTAAGGGGAACATAAATTTTAGAGGAGATGCCAGAAATTTGGCATTAAGTGATTCTAATACATTTGCTTTCTTAAAATCATAAACCATACCTGTGTTGACCAGTCTAGAAGCAACAAGTTTTTCAAGAAGATCATCTGCAATAGGGTTTCCATCTTTATAATGTTTTGACAATCTTCGGAGAGAGTCGATGTCCCACACCCAGTTCTCAAGCATTTGTGAAGGCACCTCTACAAAGTCAGTTTCCACATTTGTTCCACTAAATCGTGCAAAATCAGTCTAGAAAGAAACACAGAGATGACTTTTAAAGCACTGGATAAGACTATGTACTGATGAATTATGATTAAAACTCATGGAAACCAAGGAAGGAAAGTGTTCACTGCCCCTTTGAAAGAGGGGCCTGCGGACACTGGAATCCCATTAGCTCAGGTTCAAGTCCTGGCTGCTCCATTTTCCTGATTCAGCTCTCTGCTAATACGCAGCAAAGGCTGTTCTAAGCACCTTGGTCCCTGACACCCATGTGGGAAACCTGGACAAAATGGATGGAAAATACCTCTCTCTGTCTCTCAATCTGTCTCTCTGTCTCTCTTTCCCTCTCTGTAACTCTTTCAAATAAATTAAAAAAAAATTTTTTCTTTGAAAGGCAGAGTTAGAGAGAGGCAGAAGCAGAAGGAAAGAGGGATCTTCCATCCGCTGGTTCACTCCCCAAATGGCCGCAATGGCCAGAGCTGGGCCAATTCAAAGCCAGGAGCCAGGAGCTTCTTCTGGGTCTCCCACGTGGGTGCAGGGGCCCAAGGACTTGGGCCATCTTCTACTGCTTTCCAAGGCCATCAGCAGAGAGCTGGATCAGAAGTGGAACAGCAAAGACTTGAACCCATATGGGAGCCCACATGGGATGCCGGCACTGCAGGCGGCTTTACCCGCCACACCATATAGCGTCAGCCCCAGTAAATCTACTCTTTAAAAAAAGAGGGGTTAGAATGACCACAAATTTCAGAGAAAATACAAGCAGCCAAGCAGCATGTAAAATAACCCCCAAATGTTCTATATTAAAGTAATATTTCATCCTTTTGAACTACAGATAAACTTGGTACAATCATCAGGAAATCATAGCCAAAAAAAATCAGTCTAGGTTAAAAACAAGCTTTAAATTCTCAAAGTAAAGATGTTTTTCAGGATTTCACATTAAAAATGAAGCGACCCATAGACAGCGGTTTCCCCCAGCTCCTCCTCCGAATGCTTGTTTCTGTGTACTCAGTACATGCCTTTCTGAGGCACTCATCACTCCACTGCTTCACGACTCCCGTTTAAATCAACTAGAGTTAAATTATGAACTACAGATTGATACTCTGTGTGTGTGTGTGTGTGTGTGTGTGTGTGTGTGTGTGAGAGAGAGAGAGAGAGAGAGAGAGAGAGAGAGTAATGTTTTGTATTCTAACCCTTCAGGTAAGTGGATCTCATCTAACCACGCTGTAGAAAGTCTGAATTGGGCCCTCTCAGGTTGGGGTAGAAGATGTCACCATGAGATAAGCTGCCATTCCAGTGGGAGTCAGATCTGTAAGTCAGCGGGCAAGTTGGGTGAGTGAATGCTATAGAAAAGAGAAGCCAAGCACAGAGTCAAAAGTTAAAGGACCTCCAGTGAAAAACAAAGGACTGTTCTGAGGGCTTGGCTGAGAGTTTAATAGAAAGTTTAAAATAGAGTTTGGAAAAACAAAGTTTTGTAAACTCTTCAGTCACTTGTCAGAGAAGCTCTCAAGCAGAAAGACGGAGATTCATGAGGACAGATTCGTGTTTTCCGCCTTCACACCGTCCACTGCACACCTGTAAAACTGCCACTGGAGGAAAAGACTCAGCATTTGGCTGGTGGGGCCACTTGCAGATTGGGGGTCATCTTTCTGTTGTCTTTCCTTGAACCCGTCTTGTTTTCCTTCCTCAGATGCCTTACATTCCAACCTTCTCTCCCTGACTTTATCATCCCTGGGCTCTACACAGAGGGGAAGGGAAGCGGGCCTTAACCACTGGAAAGGAAGCAGATGGGATGCGGAATCAGCAACAAACAGCCCTGCTTTTGGCCCACGGCAGAGGCACAGATGTCAACACACCATCTCACATTCTGCCTTCCTCTCTTTATGCAAAAAAGTGTTTTGCTTGACTTCCCATTATAATTGCATTGATTCCAGATCCGAAAAAGACCCGCAAATACTGAAGGGCCAGGGGAAACGAAATCTACTACTCGAACCGGTGCCCATATGGGATGCCGGCACTGCAGGCAGTGGCTTTACCTGCTACGCCACCGCACCAGCTCAGAAATATAACATTCTAAGATTATATCCTACATTATAGATATCCATGCAATAATTATAATGGCCATCACTTATTGAGACATCTATTGAGACTCAGGCATTAAGTAGGCTAAGTTCTCTTTTTAAAATGCCAAAACAGGCCGGCGCCGCGGCTCAACAGGCTAATCCTCCGCCTAGCGGCGCCGGCACACTGGGTTCTAGTGCCGGTCGGGGCGCCGGATTCTGTCCCGGTTGTCCCTCTTCCAGGCCAGCCCTCTGCTGTGGCCAGGGAGTGCAGTGGAGGATGGCCCAGGTGCTTGGGCCCTGCACCCCATGGGAGACCAGGAAAAGCACCTGGCTCCTGGCTCCTGCCATCGGATCAGCGCGGTGCGCCGGCCGCAGCGCGCCGGCCGCGGCGGCCATTGGAGGGTGAACCAACGGCAAAAGGAAGACCTTTCTCTCTGTCTCTCTCTCTCACTGTCCACTCTGCCTGTCAAAAAACAAAAATAAAATAAAATAAAATGCCAAAACAATAAAAGTAGTATTATCTCCATTTTTTTTTTTTTTGACAGGCAGAGTGGACAGTGAGAGAGAGAGACAGAGAGAAAGGTCTTCCTTTGCCGTTGGTTCACCCTCCAATGGCCGCCGCGGCCGGCGCGCTGCGGCCGGCGCACCGCGCTGATCCGATGGCAGGAGCCAGGTGCTTCTCCTGGTCTCCCATGCGGGTGCAGGACCCAAGCACTTGGGCCATCCTCCACTGCACTCCCTGGCCACAGCAGAGAGCTGGACTGGAAGAGGGGCGACAGGGACAGAATCCGGCACCCCGACTGGGACTAGAACCCGGTGTGCCGGCGCCGCTAGGCGGAGGATTAGCCTATTGAGCCGCGGTGCTGGCCCTATTATCTCCATTTTTAGATAAGGAAATGGAACCATGCAGAAATTATGGTAGAACTGGGATCTGAATCTAGGCAGTCTAAATTCATAACTCACAATCTCAACAATAAATATTACAGTGCCTCTCTTATAGTAACACAAACAGATATACACACAAATAGAGTTAAATCATGATAGTAAAAAAATGACTAAATCCTCTTAGAAGTTATCTAAAATAGAAAAAGCTTATATTTATATTCAAACTCACTTTTAAGTGAACAATTAAAAGTAGGTTTCCATGTGTTTTCTTAGAAATTTGTCTTCCTCAATGCCATGGTTGAGAAAGAACTTCTAAAATCAATTCCATTCATATAACTACAAAAAAAATAGAATACCTTGGAATAAGCTTAACCAAGGATGTCAAAGATCTCTATGAGGAAAATTACAAAACATTAAAGAAATAGAAGAAGATACAAAAAAATGGAAAAATCTTCCATGTTCATGGATTGGAAGAATAAGTATCATCAAAATGTCCATTCTCCCAAAAGCAATTTACAGATTCAATGTGATACCAATCAAAATAACAAAGACATTCTTCTCAGATCTGAAAAAAATAATGCTGAAATTCATACATAGGAACAGGAGACCTCGAATAGCTAAAGCAACCTTATACAACAAAAACAAAGCTGGAGGCATCACAATACCAGATTTCAAGACCTACTACAGGGCAGTTATAATCAAAATAGCCTGATATTAGTACAAAAACAGATGGATAGACCAATGGAACAGAATAGAAACACTAGAAATCAATCCAAACATCTACAACCAATTTATATTTGATCGAGGAGCTAAAACCAATTCCTGGAGCAAAGACAGTCTATTCAACAAACAGTGTTGGGAAAACTGGATTTCCACATGCAGAAGTATGAAGCAAGACCCCTACCTTACACAAAAATCCACTCAACCTGGATTAAAGATCTAAATTTATGACCCAACACCATCAAATTATTAGAGAACATTGGAGAAACCTTGCAAGATACTAGCACAGGCAGACTTCTTGGAAAAGACCCCAGAGGCACAGGCAGCCAAAGCCAAAATTAACAACTGGGATTACATCAAATTGAGAAGTTTCTGTACTGCAAAACAAACAGGAAAGTGAAGAGGCAACTGAAAGAATGGGAGAAATTATTTGCAAACTATGCAACTGATAAAGGATTAATAACCAGAATCTACAAAGAGATTAAGAAACTCCACAACAACAAAACGAACAACCCACTTAAGAGATGGGCCAAGGACTTAAACAGACATTTTTCAAAAGAGGAAATCCAAATGGCCAACAGACACTTGAAAAAATATTCAGGATAACTAGCCATCAGGGAAATGCAAATCAAAACCACAATGAGGTTTCATTGGTTAGAATGGCTTTCACAATGAGGTTTCAATGGTTAGAATGGCTTTCATACAGAAATCAACAAACAGCAGATGCTGGTGAGGATATGGGGGGAAAGGAACCCTAATCCACTGTTGGTGGGAATGCAAACTGGTAAAGCCACTATGGGAGACAGTTTGGAGATACCTCAGAAATCTGAATATAATCGTACCATATGACCCAGCCATCCCACTCCTCAGGATTTACCCAAAGGAAATCAAATTGGCAAATAAAAGAGCTATCTGCACCTCCATGTTTATTGCAGCTCAATTCACAATAGCTAAGACATGGAATCAACCTAAATGTCAGTCAACAGAAGACTGGATAAAGAAATTATGGACATGTACTCTATGGAATATTACAGTGTTAAAAAAGAAATGAAATCCAGTCATTTGCAACAGAATGGAGGAATCTGGAAAACATCATACTGAGTGAAATAAGCCAGTCCCAAGGGACAAATATCATGTTTTCCCTGATCTGTGATAACTAAGCGAGCACCTAAAAAGGAAACCTGCAGAAGTGAAATTGACACTATGAGAAGCAATGACTAGATTAGCACTTGTCCTGACTGTCGAGAAACAGCTTATTATTTCATTCTTTTTACTATTTCTTTTTCTACTTACTACCATTGGTTGAACTCTTTTTTTTTCAAGATTTATTTCATTTTATTTATCTATTATTTATTTATTATTATT